ACACACAGAGTGGGTACAGTGTTTCACAGGACAGCAGTGGCACGTCTCAGTGTGGCATTACCTTGCACCATAGAAAATAACTTTTCATTAGTATGTGCACTCAGTTTCATCCCTCCCTCTTCTGGGACAAAGTTTGTCTCCTATCTTCTTGGAAAATGCAGCCCACTAAATGCACTTATTCCCTACCCCTTTCCCCCAATCTGAATTGATCTAATGCAATCTGTAGGTTTTCAGCTCTCTAGATAGACAATCTAATCTCCAGACCTGCATGGATCTCAGCTTTCCTTCACCATTCTGAGATTCCTTGACAGCATGATTATTGTGGAAACCAGGCTGCTTGCAGGAACCCTTGATCAATGCTGCTTTCTTTGTGACGTTCCATAAAGTGTGGTTATATTAGTTATTGCTCCACTCTGCCCTATGGATTTCAGGAGAGGTATGCCCAGAGGAAACATGCTCCAGTTCACTTCGACACCCTCTAAAACCCAAAGATTGTCATGCTCATGAAGTTCTACAGGTCTTCCACAGGACATGGGAAAGCATACTGCATCTCTCAACTCTTATACGGTTCCCACATGTTCATTTTCCAGGTTCAGCCTTCCTTTTGTTTGCAATAGTAGACAAGCAGGGGACGTCTGGGCTTAGTTGATAAAACAGGAAAATTACAATCACGTAGAGAGAATAGAAAAGGTATTTCAACCACAGACTAATATAACAGAGGCACGCAGCTAAACAAATAGATTAAGCGAGAGATTTTTCTGGAAACACCATGCACATGATTCTGAGTCTGTCCCCTTCCCCTGAAAAACAAAATTCACTGGGTCACACTGAACAGTCATTTGCTTTCCCTTTTGCTCAGTACTGGCACCTCCCTGAAAACTGAACCCAGAGTATATCATAGCCAAGTCTGGAACCCAATTCAAACAATAATTTCTAGGCTTTGTCTATGGAAATATCTTGGTGATATCCTTTACAAAACTGCTTGCTGCTTTTCTTCATTTCCAATATGCTATGTTTGCCTGTGCAACACAGAACAGAAGGATATTCAGTAAGAATTTATAAAAGGGCCACTTTTTTGATAGATGTGTGTAGGAGGGAATCTATGGTGCCTAGAAAAATGAACTACTGGAATATGTGTTACAATGACAGCCCCATGTAGAAGAGAAAAAAAATATAGGGCCAAGTCCTATTTGTCATCCAAATGTGCACTTGGCTACCCATATAGATCACAATGAAGAAATGTGGCCAAGATTTGTAGCTCCAACTTTCAACAATCTATGCCAAATCTATTGGCCATTTGGGACACTGCAGTTGAAATGTGTTAGTTTATGTGATCAGCAGCACACAGGGGAAGTGATGTGATCAACAGCACACCAGGGAAGTGATATAGCTATCATGACTTTCCTTGATCTCCAGCTTGAATAACTAGGTACCCATACACAGCTGGATCAACTAGAGGTGGCCTTCAAAAAGCAAGGCTTGAACTTATATCCCAGATCCACAGTAAGAGACCTTATTACACCCCATATTGCAAACTTTCGTAGACTTAATATTAATTTAGGCCAGCAATGAAACCTACTAATAATGGCCATGAAAAGATCTGCTGGATATTTTACTCTGTGATCAAAAGGCAACCCTATAAATGACTTCAAGCCATATCCTTTCTACTAATCAAGCACATCACATCTCAGCCTTATCAAATGCCTGAACAAAGCACTAACATGTCTACTTCTGTCATGTGCTGTCACCTTAGCCTTAAAGATAAGTCACAAAAAATGAGGAGCTTGAGAACTTAACCACCTTCTGCATAAACAGCTTTTCTGGGACTTATGTAAGTGAGAATGGGATCACACTTATGTGTCTAAGACAGGGGTGTGCAATTATTTGGGGTGGAGGGCTGTTTACTGAGTTTTGGCAAACCATCGAGTGCCACATGACAGGCAGCCGGGGCAGATTAATATTTATTTTCTAAATTTTTTAGGGGTCCCAATGCCCTGGTGGGCCACATCTGGCCTGTGGGCTGCATTTTGCCCGCCCCTAGTCTAAGAGCATTTAGGAAGAATAGGTCTTAGAGGGACCAGCTATGCTTATTGTGGAAGGGTTACTGTGGGAACTGAGATTTCATTGGTTTTTCCATGGGCAATGAACAATCTCTCTTAGATAACATCAGTTAGTAAAGGTTTCAGTATATTTTCAGTATACTGAGGTCTTTTTTTTTTTTACCTTTCGCTTCCAACCATTTTCATATGTTATTTATAAGCTGGGTCTTATTTAAAAATAATTGTAGTATTACTAAAAAAAAAATGGTGGTGGTGAGTGGGAATTGAGGCAGGAGTATAGTTTAACTCGTCACTGAAACTGTACCCACATTTGCTCACACAAATTCACCTGCCAATTCTGAGCCCTTTAGATCCCTAGAAAATTTCTGTTGGGTTTTTTTTGTTTTGTTTCGTTTGTTTTTTGGGGTTTTTTGGTGTCTTTAAATTCAGAACGTTCATAACCTGCCAGTACTACTGACTGTGCTGCAGGCTGTTTACTGTTTCCAATTGCTTGACAATGAGATTAAAAATAATGAAAAACAACACTACTAACAATAATTTTCTCTTTTATGCTGTCCTTGTGTAATTTGAAAAGCTAGCTATGGTAATTTTTTTCATATGCTGTAAAACAAAAAATGTAGTGTAGTATACAATAAATTAGTCCTAGACTCACAATGAGTTTTTTCATATCAGATTTTGAATGCAAGCGTGCAGATATTAGAAGGTGCTTAAGAAATATCATTACAAATAAAAATAACATTCTGAGGTGATTCTAAAAATTCTTTTTCCAAAACAGAAGCATGGAAATTAATGTTTGAATTTCTATTAGTTTTCTATGGTTATTTTTTTCTTTTTAAAGTCTATCAAACCTGAGTAAGAATCACCAGGTAATCCAGGATATACATTCAGACGAAACTAATGCTGATGTTTTTTAACAATAAACTGAAACATCTGATTGAATGGCAAGAAATGGGTGGAGGAATTTGGAAAGAAAGGAAAGACAGCTGTTCCTAGTGCAGTGTTTAAAGCCATGCCTAAGAGAAATCATGCTTGTTTCTTGTCATTGGAATGGAAAGCAAAGATCATTATTTATAACTTTTAAAGCAAATGCTGAAGTTTACAAACAAACAGGAACACATTGTGCTAGAAATATTTAGTATCATATAATTATTTATGATCAGGCAATTTCAACCAGATTTGCTTTGTTTCCTTTGAGACTGAAAGTGATCATCTATTTCTCTCCGAGTATCTAATATTCTGATGTTCTGTGATAATGTGACTAATTTGGGGAACAAAGGGCTACAATTCCCAGAGATAAACTCAAAGATTGAGAACTGCTTTGGAGAATCACATGTGCATGCAGCACTTGTAATTCTGCACTGTGGTAGATACTATGGTTTTTCTAAGTGTGGCAGTTTTAGAATTTGCTTCATGGTAAAGAAAAAAAAGACATTAACTTCTTGTTAAACATAAGCAATAAAACGTAAAGGCTGCTTGTCAAATCCACTGAAATAATGATAATCGTATAAATTGCATCATAATAAGTTCTTTTAAATCATACCGAAATGATGTGATACATCCTATCACCTAGCAAATCAATATAACATGAGCTACTGTAACATGAGCTGATATAAATGCTACATTAGAAACTTGTTTCCGGCTCTGAAATCTTTTAAGTTCCAGCAGAGCTCGGAAGAAGGTGTGCTTTCTTTGCTTTGCCCTTCTTCCCTCACTTTTAAAAAAATATATTGATTCTGGTTCCAGCTTAGTTTAGAGAAGTTCCATGCTTGCTGTCGACTAGTTGTAGTCTGTAAGCATCCATCCTTCCAATGAGTACCAACAGAGTACAGAAAGCTGTTGGCACTACTTCATTCTGCCTATATAAGGGATGCAAGGACCAGTGGCTTAGGAATTTGCTATGCTAATCTGCTGCAACTGGGCATTAACCCACCCAAGAAAGATTCAGCTGCTTTCAGGCCCTTTAACCATGCAGCCAGGGAGCAGCTTAGAATCTAGCCCATTATTTTTGTAGTCCATTGCAAAGAACTTCAGGTAGCTGCATTGAAGGGGAGGAGGAAGAGGGGCTGTGCAAAGTTCTCTTGCTTTTTAAAAAAGTCTTCTTATATTCCACCCATTCTGATAAAAAGGGAAACTGAATGAGTACTCTTGCAGTTTTAAACTGTTCACTTTAAAGTGGCTCAAATTCTTTCCTGCTTGCATATTTTTAGTGCCAATCATTCAGAAAACTGCTTTTAGGATAGAGGACAGAGCAAGGCCTATACTTTATAATGTACCCGACCCCTGCTTAGAAAAGTTCTCTTTGATTTGCATCACATGGCTACTTTCTGAAGGAGCCAAGTCCTTTTTCTTAAAGCTGCACAGAAATGATGCACACATTCATTTTACCTAATTTTAGTGAAACTTGAAAAATACTGGTTTAAACACTTAGCCTGAATGAAAGTATTTATGGATTCACATTTTTGGTTAGGAGTCAATATAAAAGAGTATGAGAGAGAGAGAGAGAGAGAGAGAGAGAGAGAGAGAGAAGGAAATACCCAGTGAAAATTTAGAGTAAAAATGGAAGAAAGAGCAGGCAGAGCAAAAGCAAATAAGGAAGGAATATATCATGGAAAAGGCACCAGAGGAGGGGAGAATAAAGAATTCTAATGAAACATCGTGGGTCTGTTTCTCTCCTTAAGATTTCTTACATAAATGTAGTTAGGAAGAATTCCACTCAGGATAAATTTGGCACGAGTCAAGAGAAGAATTATCCTGTTGAACTTATTTGCTATACCCCAAGAGAACTCCTTCAAAAAGTACTTCATATATCTCAGACTCAACAAGCTTCACTCATCCTTAATTCAAAAAGTGAGAATGTTCTGTGCCACAGCACAGAAATAATACTTAGTAAAAACATATGGAGTTCCACAACTCCTTTGAATAACTTTTTTTATGCACAACTCCTTTGCATAACTCACCCTCAGAGGGAGGGATCTCTTTTCTTCTTCTAGCACTCTTTTTCCCATTACCTTTAGCTTAGTAGAGAAAAATCCCTTTCCAGCAGTGCCATAAAAACATTCAGAAAACAGGTACTACAATCATATTGGAGAACGCAGTGGTGGATCAAGGCAGTGCTGCTGGGAATCTTAGGGACTTTTAATAATCACTGTGCATAACCCCTGAAGTCAGTGCATGTTTCACTGCACAAATGCATGTCACTGCATTCTAGTCGTTTCCCATATCTTTTCTTCCCAATGGCAAGTTCTATGTAACCAGGACATACTGCTTGAATGGAGATGGTTCACTGCCATTTAAGGAAAGGAGGACAATTTTCTCACCCATTACTCTGTGATGAGTTAATTAATTAGCCCAATAAATTTGTTCTTTACAATGGGAAACTAGCACAGAGCTTTTTAAAAATAATAATTACTGGTTTCTTTTTTAAACTAGTTTCAAAAGAAGAAACCCTGCATTAAACGTTTTATAGTTTAGGAAACTACTACATAGCAGCAAAACTACATTAGACTTTCTGATTTTTCCATAGTGTCCTTGGATAGATACACCACCCAGTAGACCATGTTAAATGCTCCAAATGTAACAGGAAATAAAATGCGCGCATATTTGTCTATCTTACTGGTGCCAGAGTTGGAGACTGGAGGAGCAGGAGGAACTATAGCAGACGCCTTTACAGACACTCCCAAAGTATTAGCTGTGGTCTGAATCTGCTCCAGTCTAGATCCGAGCAAATGATGCATGGATGGAGATCCAGCTGTGGCATGCTGGGATATATATCCAGTTAAAATTGGGGTGGAGGGAGGAGCTGGAGGTGTAGCTCTTGCAGAAGCCAATGTTTCTGTTGCACTGGCACGACTGAAAGGGTTTGGACTTGATGCTGAAAGAGTGTGGAGTGTAATGTCAGAAGACCCCTGAGTTACAGTAGAAGGTTGGATGGAACTGTTTCCTGTGTCAGTTCGGTTCCCACCATCACCTTCCAACTGTACTGTGGCATTTGTTCTTTTCCTCACATTGGAATTGGCATCTGTATTCTGCAAAGTTTCAAGAAATAATATTAATCAATTTAATTTTAAAGCACTTAAACTGAAATAATGGAATCTTTTTAAACAAGACCTAATGTAATAACAGTCATGGATACTGAAGTTATCTTTGAGCGTAGCAATCAAAATACTGCATAGTTATGAACCTGGATTTAACTGTATATAAAAAAAACTGTCAGCAAGAAAACTCCTATAAGGCTAGGTGCAAGCATTCAAAAAGCCTGAGATGGAATCAATCTAAGTTATGCAGTTTTTGGTAAGCCGCATAGTTGAGATCAGTAGCAAGCAGAACACACATTTGGCCTTTGGTTGAGGCGGGTAGGGGGGGGGGGAGGAGCAAATCTTAGACCAGTTCTGCCATTTTTAAACCAGCCTCTGTGCGCCAAACTTCTGTTCTGTAATGGACTGATTTCTGATCACTTATACCAGTAAAAGTGTAATGTTTGTATCTGGCCATAGGCTATGTGTGGCCATAATACTAACATACCCGTATCTAAAACTATCAGCAGAAAGTAACATCAATTCAAGTTGGCTACATTAATGTAAGACTGTGGATAAGCCTGCCTTCTAACCATTGTAAAAAAGGAATGGGCCTTCCACTTGGGAGTGCACATTAGCTCTTACATTTGGATGCCCCATAGGGTTACAAGTTATCTGCGTCAGGCTAACTTGAATGAAATTGGGTTAAAGTTGCAAGAACTTGCTAAATGTCTATCACTACAGAAGCATGCAGCTGTAACAGTTACTCGGTATATCAATACCATTTGGTATTGATACAATTTTTACTTCTGTCTATAACCTAAAAATTGTTGTTTAAGCTTCCCTGTTGGGGGAGTAAGGGGAGCACAGTAATATTTTTAACTCCGGGATCAGATTCACTGGTGGGCTCTCACTGCTTTGATGATGTAAAACAGATCAAACCCAAACTTAATAGGCAGTCAGTTTATAGTGCTTTGGTATCAATGGTGTTGCATAAAGCACTTAGAGTACATCATGGAATCTGGCCTGTTTTCTACTGGTGTTGTCATTAAACTTTAAATATTTGTCCAGAAACAGTTGCCACACTGTGGCCTAAAGATATTGTAACACTGCACTCTCCTGGAGGCCATTGTGAGTGCTGGCAAATGCTGAGGTTTCCCTGATGACAGCATTCCACCTTTCACAGCAACTTTAAAATGACATTTTGCAACAAGACAAAAAAATAATGATTTAAAATAATTGTTATTTGAAAGACAAATGGCTGGAAACTATTCTTTATCTATGCCATGTGCCCTTTCACAGCATGTATTTCATCTTGGCAGCAGGTTGTAACTATTTTACATGAAACTAAATGGTCATTTTACTGAAAACAGAAGAAAGCTAAAAGCTTGTACATCTCCTTTCTTTTTAATAAAAATAAGCATTCAAATCTCAAAAATATCTAGCATTGAAATCTTTAACCGAGTGAAATGTAAGTTCATATCCCTTCACCAGATAATTAATCTCTATGTTGTAATAAACAAAAGCAAACCACTACCATTCTCATTTGTCAGCTAATAAAATCCAGCTAAAAGCAAAGATAGAGCACTGAACTGAGATTGAGAAGCAGAAACAAGGAGTTCTACACCAGATACAAGAGATCTCGAAAATCATGTGCCTATTTATTATCATTAAAAATGGACAAACTGCAGCAGAATCGATCATGGATGCCAATACCCTCATCTATGCCCATCCGAGTATGGAAAGCAGAATTGCAGCATATTTTGTAGACTATGACCACCTTGAAAATGAACTACCATTATATACTGCACTGCTCCTTACAAGGCACAAACATTAACTAATGACAATATTTAATTAACTATCACATCAGCAGCTTTCTTATGGGTCTGGCCATGACATCTCGTTGACTCTAACATTTCCCCACTATAATGGATTGGAAGACTTAATGTATGATACAATGTTTCCAGGATGAGGGAGACTATTTTTCACAGCAGCAAATAATAATTGTTTAGCTGCAGTCTGAATTGAAAGAAACTAGTCTGATTATTCACTTGAATAAAAGAACTGAATCTCCCTTTCTAGGCCAGATCAAAATTGACATCAGCCTAATATTCCAAAAATGGTGAAGAAAACAACTCAATAATCCTTCAAAACCTGGGAGAGGATATTAAAGTAAAACCTTAAGCATAAGCATAGTCCACTGTTATTAATGGGCATAGTCAACAGTTATTAATGAAGAAAAAATACCACAGGATGAAAAGATCTGGGAGAATTGTTGGACAAATTGTCAAAGTGTATAGCTCTTTCTAAATAAAGCAGGAAATTTGGAGAAATCTAAATTGGAGGAGACATTGTTCCACCTAAAACTAAACATGCAGCGCTCACTCTAACAAATATATAACTTCCTTAAGAAGGGCATTGTTATTCAAATGGAAGAATGGTTTTTTACCTGAGAGGAAAGCACTATTTTAAAATCTAAAGTTAGGCATTGCAATGGTCAGCATTATCTCTTTGTGCATCCAGCTCTAAGTGCCTTTAGAGCCTAAATCTCATTGACTTTCAATAAGATCTGGGCTTGAGGCCCAGGACTAGTTTTACAGGGATGGAGAGAAAGAACAGAGGAGGAACAAAAAGCAGTCTAACCAATTTCCACTAATGGGGAAGAGGGAGAAAAATGCAACCTCTCGCTGCTGAGCTCTTCCTGTTCTATCTGCATTGAATCACGTCCTCTGCCAAAAAACAAAGCAAACACAAACAAACAAAATAAAAAAAAAACCCTTTCTAGGTTCTGGCGAGAAGGAGGGATGGGGGGAGAGCTGCACCTACCTATTGCATCATATGTGATTACCTTTTCTTCCACAGGAGGCAGGAAAATGAGGAAAGTTGCTAGTCAGAGGGCGTTTCCTTCTTGACCCATTTGAAAATAACTCGAAGGCTGCAGCTTCTTCTCTCATGGCCAAACTACTTTCAGCAGAGGCCAAAATCCTGTTTCTAGCAGTAAAATTAGGAGATTTGGAGACACAGATATATGCAAAGCCTCAATTTATCTGAAGCTGCCACACATAGTATATGCCAGTTCAACTTTGATATATCTATCTCAGTCTCTATGGTTTTGAATCTCCCTTTTCTACTGCCAGTCGATAATCACCTTATTTATTTATTCCATATTGCTACATCTTGAAATGAATGAATTTATTGTGTAAAAACAAGAGAAAACGATAGTTCCTGAAAAAACACTACTGTTTCAATCAGAAATAGAGACTATAAGTTACTATTCCTTATATGCATCAGCACACACTGGTGTGCAATGTGGCTACATTGAGATTGCATGATTGGGACCCATGAAAAACAAAGCCAGTTTTGAGATCTCTACATTAAAATTAAAATAGTACATTTAAGTATAAATTTGCTATGACAATACTGTAGGTAATACCTTGCAGCCTATAAACATACATCAACTGAAGGCCAGTGAAGCTTAAATAAACGGAAGTCACTAAAAAATGTTGTGGGCGCAGCTACACAAGATGCTTTACTCAAGCTTAGAGCTAATTACAGCACAGTCAGTCAGCATCACTATCTATAGGTGCAGATGCTTACTGTGCAATAATTTGCTCTAATTGCAAGTGCTGGCTATGAAACGTGAAAGCTTCGACAGTGTCTCTTGCACAAAAATGCAAGACAGGGACTGGGGCAAGACAGTTGTAGTACCAAGCCTGCCACAAAGAATATCAAATTCCATTAATGGCTTGCAATCCATTAGGTGTAAGAGAGAGAGGAGCTTGTGGTATCTAATACCAGACCTATACCACAAAATAATAAGAGCAATGGTTCTTCTAAAAGGAAAATTGTTAGCAGAGACGTGACACTCATTACATGTGTCTCTCCAAGCTAAGCAAGCCAGAGAAAAAGGCTGAGCCAGTGTAACTAAAGAAGGCAAGGAAACTACATATATATTTCAACTGAACTAGCAACTAAAGAAGAAAAAAGGCTAAATATATTTTTCAAGCAAAACCAGTAAAAGGTGCATTGAATACAGGAAAAATGTCCTATACCTGACATCCTCACACTTCCCAAAACAGGCATCCAATATCTAAGGCGTCACAAATGTCTCAACCATTCAATGTATGTCTGGAGTTTGGTAAATCACCTGTACAAGCTACTGCAAACTTGCTCCATTGGTAAACAAATACCCCAAAACAGGTCCAGTAACCAATGCCTCTAGGTATCCTGTTTGACCTCTCAAGGCCCATCACATTTAACTTCAGTGGCTGCAAAAAACACAAGCCTTCACACCTAAACAAATCCAAAAACAGGACCCAGGCAATTTAACAATGGTAATATGATGGTCACTCTTTTCCTCCCTGTTTTGTTCGGCCTTTAATCGGCCAACCATCAAGGAAAAATGCTTTGAAGCTATATAATTAAAACAGTATAAAAAGCAAGACAAAACTGCCAGCAAGGTGTGCAGTTTAGAAAAGATCAAGAAGCCACACTGTACCCGGCCCATGAGTGATTCTTAAAGCACTAGGTTTGAAAAAAAACACTTTTAAGTGCAACAGCGAGTAAATTTGCTACCTGCAAATACAAGTAGCAAATTTACTCGAGATTACTTGCTGTGCAGTAGTGCACATGTGGAAGTCTGACCAAGAGCAAATGTGCTCCCGATCATCTGGGCAGCAGGAAATTGCTCCCTGCCCCGGGAGCTGCCTGCTGTCGAGGTGAGCTCTGCCACCAGAACCAAAGCTTCACAATTGTGGCGCTGGGAGATCCTTATCTTCCAGCTTGAGCCCTGCAGTTTGGGGGGCCCTGGCTGGGAGACCCTTAACAAAACAAGCAGGAAAAGGGTGACCATCATATTACAATTGTTATATTGCCTGAGTCCTGTTTTTGGATTTGTTTAGGTGTGAAGACTTGTGTTTTTCGCAGCCACTGCAATTTAATGTGATGGGCCTTGGAGGGTCAAACAGGATACCTAGAGGCATTGGTTACCTGACCTGTCTTTGTGTATTTGT